ATCCAGACAAGATGTAAAAAATACACCTACTGTACATTGAGTTTTTTTTTTAACTCGTGGCAAATGGAGGCAAAGGACTAACACCTTTTAAACCATTTTGCACAGATTTTCGGGAAATCATTCTGACTGAAATGTTTACATGTAGATTTCTGAAACATAATTAAAATTAAGAATCACTCTACCCACTTCATCATGATGGAACTAAAAAGCTAGATCGTTTTCAGTTTCATCTGAGCTCACTGTTTGTTTTTTCTTTTAGTTCATTCTTTATGGAGATGTAACTGCGTCTTCCTTACGAAGAGTCCAACGCAATAATATAGAGTCAATGAAGGTGCTGTTCTCTTTACACTATGCACTCAGAGCTCCTTGTTCGCCTGATTTGTGGGAATCATTCATAAACACTTTCGAGGTAAACGGCGTGACGATGCGAGCGCGTTGAAAATATAACAGCATCAGCCGCCATACTTTTATTATAGACTAGCTGTGCCTGCGACTTCGTACGCGTGAAAATAGTTTGAATAATATTTCCCGTTTTTGCAACATTTTTCTTCACTGCTTCGCCCCTATTGACTGTAGTGTGATCTGTGTGTTGTTATACAGCTCGACAAATGGGCTATCCTATCACAAAAAGTGTTCTAAATCGGACCAGTAGTTCCTGAGTTAGCGCGTTCAATCAAATATACAAACTCTTTAGCTTTATAATATTACTTACCGATAATTTATTTATGTTAAAGAACTTGTCATTTTTATGCATAATCCGAGCAATAAAATTATCTGGCGACATCGCTATGAAACATTAAGAAACTGGGGTAATTTGATACTATTAAGACTTACTCAATCGAATCTACATCGATGTCTATATATAGGGAATGTTTTGCTAAATAGATAATTGAGATCACTATCCTGGTTTAGACACTACACAAGTAGAGACAATCATCTAATTTCTCTTTCCTTCATTCCTTCAGTCATTGAAAAAAATGATTTGGTAGTAACTCTACTAAAACAATACTTTTTATTTGAATTCAATTAATTAAGTTAACTAATTAACATCAATTTGAGCAAATGGTCTAATATTATAGAAATAGCAGATAACACAGATTTTAAGCTAAGATCGGTGGGATTTTTTTACAGCCTGACTCTTTCAAACTCTGGCCTGGTTATAAAATCATATTCCAATATTTATATAGTTCAAAGAGAAAACCTAGATATGTATTTGTAAATGTTTAAGTTAGTTGAAAAGCTTCAATCACCACCGTCCTAAAAGGAAATTGGCTCTATCACGTTAAGGCAAATCAAGCCATCAGTTCGATTAAGCTGTGCTGTAGGTACACTATATGACTGGTCAGAAAGACCCCAGAGTTGTGATCACCACTCTCAGAATACCTGAGAAGAACTACTTAGTATTATAATGTTATATGTGCTACTACCAACGCTATTGAAGGAAGCTATAACTAACACGTCATAATCATTGAAACATTCTGAGTGAGAAACGACGATTAATAACCCTGTATAAGAAACTACTGAAAATTTTTCAGTAGTTTCTTATACAGGATTTATATTAATCCGAATAGATCAGCATACATTACACAACTAGTACTTATAATGAGCTAAAGTATACTTAGTTACGATGACCTGAATATCTACATAAACGCCTAGAATATACAAAAATATAATGTGTGTAACATAATCTCCATCCCAAAGCACCTTGGATTAACTGAACAAATCAGCCACTATTGACTTTAACAAATGATGGACCAACAAAAAATTAAACGTGCACCTAGTTATCGGAAACCGAGGTAGGTAATGACAAGTCATTTACTGCTCACCCCACAGTTTAAGCTTGCTCAATGACTTTAAATGAGCAAAACCACAAAATGCGAAAATGGCGCTGGCCGCTTCACCATTATATTGATTTCGACGCCATTAAAACGAACCGGAAATTAAAAAGAAATAAAAACATATTGCTTTCCCGCGCGCTCCGGACTTCACCCAATTTGTACACGTTCTGTTTTCGAACACAGAACCAATTCGATTTTTGAAACGGGCTTATGCTCGGTTTTTTCAGTCTTTTAATATGCACTCTAATGTATTTGTAACAAAGTTGAAACTCGATAACGTAAAAATACGCGTCAGTTCTTTTTAATTTCGTGCCAGTACGTAGAGTATAGGGTAGGTAGATTTTATTTGGCATGCCATTATTGTCAGCGTGATATGATTATTATATTATCGGGCGATAAACGGGCATAAAAAAGATATATCGGCGAGGCAATCATCTCGGCGGGATTATGTCGATATTACACTGTTTCGTGTGGATTTATCGAGGATCCGTCTGCTAATTAGATTTCTGAACTGTTACATGCGGTTTTGAGTGGGAATTTATGGATTTTGCCATTTGGGTAACGGATAAAACATGTGTCGAAAAACTTAATACGTAGTAAGTGGAAAGTAGCAGCATCGATTAATGTTAGACGTAAACACATCAAAGATGATCCCTGATCTTGATGATGATGATCTTGAGGGGTGCGAAAGAAGTACCTAGATTTCTTTTTGACGAACTGATTTCCTGCTTAGATAAGATTCTGTACTAAAAATCAGTAGAGCTGGTGTAAAATGAAAATTGCCGGTAGTGTCCTGTTTTGAGTGCTTATCAGGTCAGAGGCGGCCGTGCTTTGGTGATCACCTTATGTCGCGGTCTGATGATCGGATAGGTGACCAACATACCAATGACCATCACCAATATACAGGCATACCCGTGCGCTGAAAGAAAATAGTTGGGTCCTGGCAAATATTAATTAAGTTAATCTTTAAGAATTCAAAAGCCTTAGGAAGGTTTGATAACACCTGACTCTAAGTTTGGTTACCTAACCCTCAAGAAAGGCACACATGAGGAAGGTGTGCCTAGATAGAGCAGGTACAGTCAAATCATGCCTTTAGCTTGTAAAATTCTCATAAAATTAACCAACACGATTGATGTCGATTAGTCAGGTATTGGTCTCAAATCAATATTAGATATCATAAAAGCTTGTCAATTTCCCATAGATCAAAGGCTGCCACAATCAATAGAGCTGATAGTGTCAAATGAATTATTATTGGCGGTAGATCGAGAGGTACATGCGAAACACATTATGTGATAACACCGTAATGGATCCCAAATATTTGCGTAGCGGCTCCAATTTTATAGTCAGTACTTTCCACGTTATCAGTCGAAGTGAATTATTTTTTATCTTCTAATGGACGGTGCTTATTATTAATAGCTTTCCGTGACTAACCTTTTTGTGGGCTTATGTGGATAAAGTTACTAATTTTACTTAGTTGTAACATAAGTAATGAACAATAAATTCAGCCTTGTATTTTATTTTTCAGAATTAAGTAGGTCATCTCAAAGTCAAAGTCAAAGCTTTTATTCAGTACCTTATTTAGGTCCTCCCCAGGGCTCATCACAAAATAAAATACCTATTAATTTATTACTTAAAATAAGCTTTTATATTTGAAATTAATAAATAAGAATCTATTGTTATGTGGGTGCAAGAAAATGTACTGAGAATACGATTACTTATATGCCTGATCATATAAACTCTTGAAATAAAACTAAGTAGGTACTGAACGGATTTTGAGTGAATCATGAGGAATATTTAGGTATATTTCTATAACAGACCAAAATACGCAAATTCAAATTCAAATTCAATTCAATAATCGCACTTCGCACGTGCGAAGTCGCGGCAAAATAATTACCTAATACTATAAATTGGATAAAGTCAGAATAAACATTCGGTAAAATATGAATACTTTTAAGTTCCAAGTAAATTCCAATAATAAACAGTTTTTCTTTTTTTTTCTTTCTTTCGATTAGTTTTTTTCATTTGCTTTATAGTCCAGTCAATAAAGCATTATAGATGGAAAACTGTAGAACACAATTTCTGACTTCAGGACTTTATTTAGACTAGTTAGGAGGTGAACATAGCAAAAGTCCCCGCCCTTAGCCCTTGAGCCGGCGGGGAGAGGGGGGTTTAAAGGTGCCACTTTTCGGTTTTTCGCTTAGGTAATCCTCGGAAACTATGCGTCCTAGTGACATGACTACTTTGAACCAAAAAAAGCATATTCAATTTGCTACAGGTGAGATCTAAATATCGATTTTTGAACGTCAATACCTAAATAACCGTTTGAGGTATATTTATGAAATTTGAAGCTGATGTATATCTTGCAAGTCTCAATACATGAGCCAAATTTGAAGTGTTAATGCACAGCAGTTTTTGAATGATGAGGAGTCAAAAGTGGCTCTAATTGGTTCGTCTAAATATACGCACGATGCAGTCCCCTCCCTGGAACTAGGCTTAACATGCTCCCGCATGTCTAAAATGTTTGCTCAATGTTGATTTAGTCGATTTTCTCCTGAAAGGAACATGTAAGACAACAATAAATTTTCAAATTTTACAGACCTTCTAGAGCAGATGCCGCAAAAACTATACAAGATATAGAAAAACTTGACGGTCTCACCTGTAGCAAATTGAATAAGCTTTTTTTGGTTCATAGTAGTCATGTCACTAGGACGCATAGTTTCCGAGGATTAAGCGAAAAACCGAAAAGTGGTACCTTTAAACCCCCCTCTCCCCGCCGGCTCAAGGGCTAAGGGCGGGGACTTTTGTTATGTTCACCACCTAACTAGGCTGAATAAAGTCCCGAGGTCAGAAATTGTGTTCCACGGATTTCTCTCTACACCGTCGTTAAGGCATTTATTGACTGGACTATTACTTAATTTGGTTGCTGCGGGCTTTCTTTCTTGCGGCGGCCTCTAGCGTGAAGTGGCTCATTCGCCTAACTGTTCTACTGCCCAGTAGATGGCGCTGACAAAATGGTTGTAAAAAGTTCTTTACACAACAGCTAAATATACGTTTCACTATGCTGCTAAGAGATGGCGCTATAAACAGGTCATTGCATTGCCAGTTCATTCACCGTCCATCTTTGATCGTCATTCGTTCTTTTGTTTTTTCGCAACAGCCAACCAAAGCGCTGTCTCCCGACCGGCCAATCAACATACAATGACATTCATTCAACAATAGTCGAGCGGTTCTCACACCTGAATGAGACAGGTGTTTGTTGTTATTACACGTCGCGATTTTTTCACTAATTACAGATTGTAAATTAACGTCGTGCTCAACACTTTTCCCAAACAACATTGTGTGACAACAAATAACTTTCGTGTTCAACTTTGTATGTTAAGTGTGACAAAACCGTAAAACTTTCTCGAGTTATCAATTTCGCGCTGTTAAATGTGAACGAATTGTTGAAAATGAGTTGAATAAACTTTATAGTGCAGTGACTGGAGCAGTATTTTAGGATATAAAATTAGGAAGATTCTAAAATGACGACGGATAGATTCCACAAGTGAGTATTTAACTGATGTTTATCATTTGTAATGTTGAAAATTCAATAGATAAGATTACTTTTAATCTACTTTCAATGACCATTACTTTACGCTTCCTCTGTGTGGTCTCAGAACCTGTATTTTGCTTGCTAGACATCTACTTTACTCATGCAATTTGCTGTAATTTATTCTACTTTTTAACACCCGCTTTTAATTATGCATGTTACGAAACCTAGCCTGCACGCTTTATTTGCTGTTCTTTTTTAAAACTTTACTATCTAATCAACTCGTAATTAATGTTAACATCTTCAAGAAGATCAAGAACCTTCAATATTTATTAGTTTATATTTAAAAAAATCCATTATCTAGGTAGGTACCTATACCTGTCTACCTACTTAAAATTCGATATTGGTTGTTTAAATTCTAGTTAATCGTTTAAATATTTCAATACCTATCAGCAGAAAGCATTATATAGCTTTCAATATCAATTAAAAGATAAAAACATATTTCGATCTTAATAATAATTCTAAATATTCATAATCGAATGCGGTTACCATCATACGTTTCCCAAGTTAATTAATTAATGTTCGTAAGAAATTATTATCTGACCGATCCTACTTTCCGATTCCAAATTAATAATTATTATTCTCATGATAAGTAGGTTCCTACGAACCTTCTTGGAGGATTCTTGGAGTTTCGTACACTTCAACCGCTTTCTCTTTTAACCTTTTTTCATTCATGATACAGGACTTGTTTTCGTAGATGCCTCAGGCATATACTTAATACATGGAAATTTATATTCAATTACCTACTTACTAACAATTAACAGCATGCAATTTACGTAATAGAAATCAGTACGTAGAAGACTGACACAATGTAAAAGTAGATTTCTTCTCATAATACTTCACAGAACCCATGGCCATAATCTCTTGACTTAGTTAAAAGAAATGCCTAACACGAAATATGTAACACAACAGATAATAATACTAGGTGAGTAACACTATATTTGGGAAAAATAAAGAATGGAACTGCATTTCTAAATTCTTCCAGAGATTATCATACTTGATGATTAGTGATACCGAAAAGAATTGACATAATAACAGATGTCCAATACGATAAAGGTGAGTCATAAACTTCGTAGCTTAATTAATGTGGACTGTCACAAGAAAAACACCCTAGTAAACCAGGCAAAATAAGAAACTAGAATAAGCATACAACGAACAGACTACTAGCTAGTAGCTCTAGGCGCCTGGGCAATAGACGAACGCATAGCGTTCTCTTAACTTGAAGTCTAACGCCCATATTCACAAACATTACTAGGAGGTCTCACAGTGTGCGTGAACGCACAGGGTGACACACGAAGCAATCACAGAGCTCTATTCAACTCTGCGTTAGATTTGCTGCTTCACTTAAGCAAGCATCGTTTGTGAATACGGGCGTAAAGACCTAATAACCACCCGCTTATAATAACAATAAAAGTTGTAAACTTATGAAACCATTCGCAAGCCCAGCTTTTATTTTAAATGTGCCCTGAATGCGTATGTGTACTTGGTCTGGACCACTTTGCGGGCATGCTCACCCGCATAACTAATTCCCATGTTTGGTTTTCCGCAAACCACTCAGGCTGTTGAACCATTTAGATAGCGCGCGAACCGTGTCTCCTACTAACGGACAATGGGGACAGCGATTGAAAACCGATTTCAATGAATTCATTTGACCAGAGGTGTAAAAAGATATTTTAAAAACAACGACACGTTTCCTTGTCTTGCTTGCTTATTCATGAGCAACACAATACGAACTTTGAATTTGATACTTAGTTCCCATCTTTATCCATAAAGTCTTAGGGATTATGTCTTTTGAAATTAAAATCAAGAAAATACAACGACATCAACGTTACGTAAGTACGATCCTACCCAAACTATGCAAAGACTTAAGTAACTCTTACAGACGACAATGCCTCAAGCTAAACTCTGTCGCGTAATAGGAATATAAATAATTGATATTTTGCAACAAAAATTGATTAAAAGAATTAATTAAACTTTTTACCAGCAACTCGAAACGTTAAATACGATATTTTGTTATTGGGGATGCAAATGACTCGGCTAAAAGGTACATTATGGTTGCACCTTCACGGTTGGTGACCAGGGTCAAAAACAGAGGGTGATTAAGCTAGTTCCTGGCCCTTATTCGATGGTGTTACACGCTATTTTAGAATGTACCGACCTTATCAGTCCATCGATCGTCAGTTGCACGCATAAGGTTGCCGTGGTGACCGATGCCATGTGCTAGTTCAATGACATTGGCAATAATGATCGCACCGGTGTGTGGTGGTCCAAAATATCATATTGTAATTACGTACTGTCTGCAAAATACCTAGATTTTTCCACAAAAAAAGGCTTCGAGAATGACAAATTCCGGAACATTCGAAAGCATTAACTGACGTAAGGGATGATTTGGGCAAAAAGAATAAGCATCAATTTATCTAGTAGGTACTAATAAACAAACACTCTCAATCAATTCAATTTATCGTTCCTCCATTCTCAACTCACACCGCTGGGTACATGCAATGCAACTGAGTCATTCGTAAAAAGACATGGTACAACTCCTAAATAGCAAATTCCAGGATTGATACAAATAGTATTCCGTCCGAGTAATTTACGTTCAGGGTATGCAATCTGGACCAGCCTGAAGCCAGTAGTACTCTACTCCTTTATATTTATACAAAACCACCATTCTGAACAGTTCATGGGATTCAATTATTATACACCTGAATTACCACGGTTACTGTTATCCAAAAAAACATAATCTTTGTAACGGCAACCTTTATTGTAGTTTTATTATTTTTATAATGTTTGCTTCAACGCCCATTCTATAAGCGAATCCATAATCTGCAATCATTATAAAAACGCCGATAAGCCTACGATAATAACTTTACTTGATATATTTCAACAACGAGGAAATTCCTCGGGGCACTCATAGATTTGAATCATATTAAAAATCTACAGGTATGCTAAATTTTTTCTAGTCGGCCAGCTTTCAATAAATAATTGTAATTTATCACAATCAAGGAATCTATATACAGGTTTCTAGACAGTGTAAGGTAATACAAGCATAGCATCAAAGATCGTTGGATATAAAATATCACAGATAAAATATTCATGTAAAAATATAAATGCAGAATCAAACGTAACGTAAACGTCAACATTTGTTCTAACACTTTTTTGGAAGTTAATTTCTGTTATCAGTCTGTTAAATATAACATCTCAATGATGAAGTAATGATGACGAATATTTAAAATAATGGAACCGTTGGTTTTGTCCCCAGGGCCGCCAAGGATGGTCTCCTCGACGTGCTGCGGGAAGCGACAAGAAAGGAGTGCAACAACAAAGATGAGTCCGGGATGACTCCGACACTCTGGGCAGCATTTGAGGGACACATTGAGGCGTTACGGCTGCTATGCGGCAGGGGGTAAGTAGATTAGTAGACTCTAGAGAGGCACTGGTATATCATATGCCCTAATTAAATCTGACACCAGTTGTAACAACCCTCACTGTACGAGGAAAGAGTCCAACAACAAAAACGAGTCCGGGATTTGAGGGACACATTGAGGCGTTACGGCTGCTATGTGGCAGAGGGTAAGTAAACTCTCAGGAGAGTCACTGGCATATCAGACGCCTTCATTATCTGATTAAGGTCGATACAATGTCGGCAACTGTCAGCGTGAGTCTTACTTCTGGGTTAGGACTGAAATGTTCACATCCATTTATTCAAAGGATAGAGCGCTCAATCCTCTGAATAAGACTTGAATTAGTGTTTCTCTAACAAAGCAAATGGAAATTAAGTATTTGACGTTAACGATGAATAAAATTTATGACGTTGGTGTTCGTCACTGAAATTATTTACAGAAATCGACCGTTATCGTGTTCGATAAGGCTTATCTAGTATGAGTTGTTATGGCCACTAATGCTGCATGCGAAACAGCATGTTCTGAAAATTACTAGTAAAGTATATAAATAGCTCGTCGATTAGAACTTATCAGGGGATTTTGGTGGTCTTTGGTCAATGTGCAATATACGTGAATATCTACATATTGAAAGACATTTCATGCAAATACATACAGTTACATCTGGTTGAAGTAACCAGCTATTCGACGCCTAGGGCGTTCACTAAATTAACTATCGGTCTAGGCATCCAATTAGATTCCATCTGGATAACTTAACCAGGCTGCGACACATAAATATAGCACAATTACTCAATGCAAAAATGTCTTAAATATTTATCTTGATAAATCAATAATTATCTTGTCACAATTCTCAAGTCAACGACATTGTTGTGCATGCCTATGAGAATTATCAATTAACAATTTACGGCAATAGTAAACCAAGACAATAGTATATCATGGTGCTGTTGCTTTCTCACATTGTTCTCGCAATATCGAGCAGTTCCGAGGCCGAGTGTACTAAACTTTGGTATTTATAAATACGCCGTTTAATCTATTTTTCACGCTCTTAGCGGTGTGCTTTCACTTTTTAGAATAACTTGAGTAAACGCGCCTCTTAGAAGACGCGAAGCGGTCATCTGACTGTACACAACAGAAGTAAACAGTAGCGTTAAGAAATACGCACTCATCTCACGACATGTTCAAAAGATGTAAATTCATCATTCTAAACTCACCGCAAAAGTTTTTTGGATGGGCAAAATGTCAGCCTCAGTAAAAAATGGGCCACAACCCAAGAAATTCGAAAACTTAGACGGTAACTTGCATGTATTTCGAAGAAGACTTGAGGTCTTCGGAATTCATGGTACCTACATAAAACCCTACAAATACGAAACTCTACTTTCATGAGAGACTACTGTGTCTGCTTCTATTGTAAAAGCTATGATAGCGAGCTAGATATAACGTGCTAAAATATTTTATGAGACAATTTGATGCATTTCTTTTTAGCTTATTAGCCACCTGCTGGTGAGAACTGAGATTTTGGTTACATAAGCTTCCAAAGCCGATTCTTTAATCTATATGCAAAATTCCAATGAATGCATGAACTATCTATCTATGAATCTTATTTATTTTAAACTTTTTGTCACAAAAAGTAAAGTACGTACATAAAGCGAAAATAGCTAACGCGATCTTCCTATTTGCCTTTCGGTCATTAGGTGATGACCCTTAAAATAGAGTAGGAATTGGGCCTTAGATTCTACAACTACAGATTCTTTCTTCTGATTCGACACATTCGTCTGGTCGTGGTCACGTTGAATTGTCCACGTCGATTGTAGTGGGCGGAGTCGGAGACAGCTTTCCGCACGATCTCCCACTATCTCTCCCTGTTGGCAGACTGCCATGCCGTGACAAACTTTCGACTGGGATAAACTTGACCTTTACTGGCTAGGTTTTTATTGGCGGTCAAGCTGTAGATCCTGGCTACACAGGAATTACAGCGATGGAAACGAGACGTGGGAATAGTCCCGTATTGGCAGAGTGCCTGGTGCAAATCAAATCTTATTTGACCTTATTTCTCTCCCAGGGGAGAACCAGACAAAGCAGATTACTTCGGCAACACAGCCCTCCACTTAGCAGCAGCACGAGGGCACAAGGAATGCGTGACCTTCCTCGTGAACTTTGGGGCCAACCCTTTCGCGATGGACGTCGACGGCCATACTTCGCAGGAGCTAGCAGCCATCAACAGCCGGGACGACATCCTCCGGTATTTGGACCAGACTACAGCCAAATTGGAAAATAATGACAAGTGAGTGTAGCTTGTATAAGACATTTTAAGTAGGTACTTCTATTCTAACGTATTTACGATAAGGATAGCTACACCGAGTAGGAGTTGGTTGTTGTATGTACATTACAATATGAATAGATTGGAAAATATTCAATTCCATACTCTTATCATTATTCATATTATGTATCGCTATGTCACCTTTGTTTAACTTTAAGGTTACTACTTTATCTAGGGAGACCTTTTCTCGCTTCCTCTTTTATTTGAGGCTGCCATGTTGTAATGCCTGGGAATCACAGCAACCTTTTATGCAACCCACTTGGTCATCAGGTCCCAGAAATCCTATCCCTTGTAATCATAGTGATCTCTGCACCAGATGACAACATAACTGACATAACTGAACAAGTCGTGTTATGATTACAGAAAAAAAGCCAAAGCCCTCAAGGAAAAAGCTAGGAAAGACTACGAAAAGTACCACAAACAGTATCAAAAGCGGCAGAGCAAAGCCGAGCTGATGGCTGAGAAGGAACTGAAGAAGTTGGCCAAGGAGTGGGAGCACGGGTACAATGACGACATGGGCACGATGCCTCACAGACCTAGCAATGTCCTGCTGGCGTTGAAACAGAAGATGACCAGGTCTACAAGTCAAGGTAAGCCATCCAAGAACCTCTTTTAGTTTATATCCTACTTAGTTCACTATGCTAAAGGCGCTTTTATTGTAGTATATTATTTATTTTATGTAACTACTTGATCTTTAATTTCGAGCAATGACTTGATTTTGAGAATCACGATTTCGGCAATGACGTGAGAAGATTACAAAGTTACAGGGCTTTAAAAATATATTTAAATAAAAGAAAACTATTATATGACGTCCGATTATTTCTTAAGAAGATTATGTAACTAATGATTTAAGTAATTGCATGAGCGTGACACTAAAGTTTACCTCTCACACGTACCCTACTTAAAGCCCGTAATAAAGAGGACTTTTACTGCCACTTTACCATCTCTTTCGACCATTACAGTCAGTTGTAGCTACTGTATTACCGGTCTATCTGTCTCTGTTGTTAATACCAGCATCTCGCTGTGAGTGAAAGAAATAGATCCAAAAACTAACATCGGCATCGTGATTACCAACTTTTATAAATTATAAAACGAGTAGGTATTATCTATAGCAGCCTAACAGCGTCATAAATCGATTTAATTCAAATAAGAATTTAACAATTCTTTGGTTTGAATATTAAATCGATTACTCTTAATCCGAAGATTTACATTTTTTTTGTCCAGTCATTCTTTTAAATAAAATAAAACTTAAATGTTGATTAAAACTAGGTAACTTTTATAAGGCTGTAAAACATTGTTATCAAACAATATAGTTTATGCTTGGAGTTTATGTAATAAAAGAACACAAATCGTCATCAATTGGCACCAATAAATGTACTTTATCGTATAGGTACCAAATAATGAAACCTATCTATCTACCTACGTACAAATGGGTTATGTTTATATCCCGAACATTATGGTAATTATTAGTCTTTAAGTTGTTGTGATATGTGCTATTTTGCAACGAAAAATTAAAATCAGACATGCATGCGATTGCACTTTTGATCGCAAAAAACATCTATCGTTAATTGATCGTAATTTTAGGAAGGTTGTTAACTGATTATGTTTGTAATACAAACACAACGTACCTCGTTTTGAATTATTTAACTTTTGATTATTTTCATACGATTGACGATACACATCACAATATTTATATACTTACCTATACTTTTTTACTAAGTACCTTTAAGTTGGTAAGTATATGGGTAGTAGTATTACATCGTAAAATATTGTCTGTACATACATCTATAGTTTAATAGGACTATACTTAACGCCCGTATTCACGAACGATGCTTGCTTAAGTGAAGCAGCAAATCGAACACAGAGAGTTGAATAGAACTCTGTGATTATTTTTTGTGTCATCCTGTGCGTCCACGCGCACTGTCACACCCGTATTCACAAACGATGCTTGCTTAAGAGATGCAGCAAATCGAACGCATAGCGTTGAATAGAGCTCTGTGATTGGTTCGCGTATGGCCCTGTGCATCCACGCGCACTATGAGACCTCATAGTAATGTTTGTGAATACGCACGTCAGACCTCATTCATAGTAATGTTTGTGAATACTGGCGTACTTAAGTGGCACTGCGTAAAACCTCCAAGGATTTATTTAACTCTAGTTACGACTCCTAAAATTCTTCCTCCGTTACCCTGTTCCCATATCTAATACAATATTAGTACTAAAAGGGTACTTTTTGTGACGTACTCAGCTCCTAACAATGAGGTAAGTATAATCATATATGACAAAAAACGGCGATATGGTCCCTTAGCACGATATCCCAAACGATGCAGTTAATTTAGCGTCAGCAGTAAAAGGTGAAAGGTAATCTGTCAACCATATTATTATTAACGTAGTAGGTGAAATGCTTGTTAAACCATTGCTGGCTAGCGGAAATGATTTCTAAATGACAATAATACACCCCAAGACCCCAACTAGGCTTTAGTACCGTCAATAGAAACTTTAAAACACGTAAAGCCTAAGGTTATTGATGTTTATGTATTTTTTATGCAGTAAATGCAGGTCAAATGACTGCAATCGCACCTGCGGGTCTACTCCGAAACGCTGTTTACGTAGTTTCGGGTCTATCTGTCACCGTCACTCGCGCTGGCATCTCGCTTTGCGTGATAAGGATTGCAACATTCGAAACTCCGGATAACGTTTTTCGGAGTAACCCTGCTGATTTTAAGTGAGATGTAGTCTAGAATGCTATAACATACTCATACCAGCCATGTAAGTGCTTATTTACTCTCGCCTTCAAGAGGCTCGGAATAGACAGAAGCAGGCAGCGAATTCCAGTTGCATTATATGCCCTTTTCAGTTCCATTTTTTGTATATTCCGCCAGGTAATCTCCTGGCCGAAGAGGCGCCCCGACCAACTTACAGTGCGCTGGTCGGCACTGTGAACTCTGGCGTGAGAGGTCGAGGGGCTGTGTACAAGAAGGCCCTCGCCAGCAAACTGAAGAATGGCACCGTGGGGAGAGCTGGAGTTAACGACGACTTCAAGGTAACTACAGATATCCTCTAGAATCTAAAAGTTGAGTAGCATCTACCAACCTACAGTGCTATGGTCGGCACCGCTGATGTGTATAAGGAGGCTCTTGACAGCAAGCTGAAGAATGGCACCATGGGCAGGACTAGACCTAATTACGACTACAAGGTAACTTACTGATGATATCCTTTCAGAGGATGTAATCGACGTAGGCCTACACAATTGCTAAACTGAAGTGGTAGTAGGCGGGGCACATGCACGTAGATCTGATGGGCGTTGGAACAGAAAAGTTCTCAAAGGGCGATCACGGCCCGGAAAAGTATTGCCTAAACTACTTCTTCCACTCGATATAGCGACGATCTGGTGAAAGTCACCGGGCAACTGGTGGAAGCTAGATGCTGGACCAGCTCTGTCCGTGTCTCTATATGTGATACCAGCTTTGCTGGTATTACAGATCGTGGAAATCCGTGGGGGAGATATTTGTCAAGTAGAGGACGACACTTATGCAGTATGTTTACTGTGATGAGAGAGTGATGTTGAAAAAATATTTTCTTGCATCAAACTGCACACTGTCAACTGTATGCCATGCCATAGTAAACATAAAAATAATCTTATAAATATTTAGCAACAGACATTTAACTACCAAAAATAAGTTTACTTGAAAGCGTATCTAGTAATTATGTTTGTTCTTATCTTAGATTATCGCCATCTCTGATGCCTATCAAGCAGTTACGCCTGAATTGCTGATTTGAGATATGAGATACACGAAGAAATCCTTTTTAGGAAAATATAATTGTACTTAATTTCACATAATGATTGCCACTTTCATTAATGAAAAACACATTTGCATTCCAGAATGTACTTTACGGGCAGTTAATTCGTGTGTTATGTGATACGGTGCATTAGTTACTTGCGTTTAAATTTTTTACACTCTTGGTTTGTGACTAATAAGCTTGCATTTGATCTGAATTTTACTTGAGTATGCACTTTATTCACTTGTGCTTTAAAAACACTTCCAAGATTTGTCAAGAATTCGGAAATACCCGATTTGCGATTACCTATAAATGGCTAAGCAGATACATAATTTAAGGTCCCACTATTTGTATTGTATTGCTGTTAGTTTTCCGAATAAAATAAAATAAAAATAAATAAATAAATACATACATGGAGTTGGCGCTACTATCGAGTAAGCTCACTTGCCAACCCATTTTGATCTCTTGTGGAGGCAAAATTAATCGCTCTCCTCTGCTATCTGCAAGATGAGGGCTGCCAGAGCCGTCTTTAACTTAGGTACAGGGGGCCCTGGGCACATAAGGATCAAGGGAGGCCCTTCTCATCTGAAAAAAGATCTTTTATGAGAACAGATGGGGGCCTCCTCGAACGCGGAGCCCTGGGCACGTGGCCTGAGGGCAGGTTATAGGTTTCTTATGTATCTTTCTTTATAGAACTTATGTAAGTAAGGAAGAGGTCTACTTTCAGTAGTGGACGTCCTATGATTGAATTGATGATGACAACGATGTGTTAACTTGTGACAGGTGGGCGAGATAGAGTCGACAGGTCGTCGTTCAGTGACGTCACTAAGCGGCGTGCGTCGTGACTCCGAAGTGATGTACGTAGGCACGCTGGGCGCCGGACCGCAGCAGCGCGGCAACGTCGCCGACATGTTCGAGCCCGAGCCGCGCCCGCCCAAGCCGCCGCTCACGAGGTCAGTGCCCGCTGTTGCCAGCTCGAGCCGGTGACGTCACTCGAGGTGATGACGTGGCACGCTGGGCGCCGGGCCGCAGCAGCGCGGCAACGTCGCCGACATGTTTGAGCCCGAGCCGCGCCCGCCCAAGCCGCTGCTCACGAGGTCAATATAGCTTGTAGAGCTGATGGTCGCTGGGGCAGAAAAGTTCACGGCGGGCGGAAGGCGTAGTGTGGACCGACGATCTGATAAAGGTCGCGGGAAGAGCTTGGATGCAGCGCAGAACCAGTCGTTAGGGAAATCCTTGGGGTTGAGGGAGGCTTTTGTCCAGCAGTGGACGTCATATGGCTGAAAAGATGAATATTGAGCAGATACATTTAATATGTGACACGTCAGAAGCCATTACGACACGACACAATACTCTATTTAGTTTTAACTTTTAACCTTCTTCTTTATTTGAATCTCTTTTTTTGGACTGCCCCATTGAAACGCGTAAAGATAAAGATCTCGCTAGTACAATAATAACTAGCTTACACCTGGGCAAACACATCCTAAGCCCACAAGATGTAAAACATATCGCCCCCAAAAGATACTGCACTTCCTAATGGATGCAGGACTCGGAGGCGAACTGTAAGGAAAACAGCGGCGATCACAATAGATCGATAACGGTCGCAGTGATACTAGGACTTTATTGAACTAGAATAGCCGCTCAACACAAATAAAAAAAAAACAATAATAACATTGATATTCCAGGTCAGCAAGTCAGCCGGACTTCACAGCGCCATCTGGCGAAGACAGCGGCATCGGTCAGGAAGTACTGCTGCAGGAACCAGCCAGTATCTTCGACAGGCCCGGCTTTGGCAGTGTGGCGTTTAGGTAAGCATTTTGCCTCTCAGACTCGTTCTCCTGCAATTGAGACTGAAGTCCGCATAAGCTGCTCAAAAATTCGATTCAATCGATAGACTGATGGTTCTGATTGGTTGAACTTCAATATTTAGACCAATCACAGAACCGAATCTATGACTGAATTTGAATAAAGTTTTGAGAGTTGTTTTTAATATGATGACCTGGAGCCCTAGATAAGTCACACTCTTGATAGCTCCGAAAATCGAATCCTGCGAGTAACTATGCTCCGTGAAGGAGCGAAAAAACACCGGTGCGAAGGCCTTTCGAACGTTTCGAACGCCTTTGTCATGTTTTGCCACTTCTCCAATAATGAATGAAAGGTCATCCGCCTTGGTAGAGTAGGCCTTATTCACTCGACGTCAAATAAATCGCACCTCCCGCGAGACGCCGAGTGTAGTAGTATAGTATAGAGGGATGATGAACTCGAACCTATATTTCATCACACTCGTGGTAGGCGTTCAATGACTATGTTAACGACTTAAAATTTTCTCGCAGGCGTTCAATAACAGCGACTTTAAGCGCTCTACCGGCGACGACGGTGGCGGGCGGCGAGGATCTGTCCATAGGGTCGGCGGGGTCGCTGGCGGCGCGCCACGCCTATGCGCCTGCTGAGTGGAACTCCGCTCACTCAGGTCAGTATATTCCTCAGATCATAGAAAGAGAATATATATGAAGTCGCGCGTAACTACAACGAGAACCAGTGTCCCCACATTTCCCCCACCACAGCTCCCACACACACATTCAACTGTGTAAAAACAAAGCGACTGAGAGTCTACGACAACATGTGCAACCGGCTTAAAAGTGCTGTGATTGGCCAGAAGGCATGACTTATGGCCAATCAATGGCCGCGTGACGTGACGCACACTTTGAAAACTAGTGAGAGAACAAAGACAAAATGGAGTTGACAAGATATCGATACTTTAAAAATTACAAAATAGAAAATTATAATTTACTTCTATTTATCGATAATAGGAAACCGCATTAGAACACGAGCACGGCACTATGTTACGACCGGCACATGCGGCCGTACTGTGTATTTTCACACGACAGTGGATATCGGAAGAAATTAAATACATTGCGCAGTAGTTGAGCATGACATAAAGTGGTTGCTAACTAAATCGTCAATGTACAAGTGTGTTAGAATTTTTATCACCACTGATTTCGATATCGCCGTAACTGTTACGGCACTGAATTCGTTCGTAAAAATGTTTAGTTTTTTTTATTTATAAGCAAAATACCAATGGATTTGCAATACTTACATGTAGTAAATGACTCCATTGTTCCTGTAGTTCTTCGTTTCACTTGTTTTATTGCACGTAACGACGCATTATCCAAAATATCGGAGAACATTTCCTTAGTACGACTGAATCGCGACTAACCTAGCTACGCGGCCGATGTTCGTTTCTGGGCATATCGCGGAGACACGCGCCACGCCCCCGTTTCACATCTATTCCCTTCTATGATCTGAGGTATATTCTTATTTTTGTTGTAATGTCGCACCTATAACAACTAGATAAAGGGCCACTATTAGTGTAGCCTGCTGAGTGGAATATTGCTGCTATAGGTCTGAATAAGTTTAAGTACAGGTACCTACTTATCTTTGTTGCAAAAGTCACCATTACCATTATTTACATGGAGTGGCAGCACTAGTGGAGAATCTCTTGGAAACAGTATGCTTTACTTTTGATTTGATTGACGGGTTAATGTTATGCATGCTCTTCAAATCAATCATAATAAAATTTTGACACGATTTGCATGCAAACAACCCCAAATTGATCATGGCAGTAAATAAAGTTTCATGAATTTTCATCTTTCTAAAGTCAAAACAATGTCAAATTCTGACCTATCGTAATTTCATATTGCAATAAATTGCGAAATAAACTTAAAATAATGGAACTTTGTCTAAAAATTGGTACTTACTTACCACACAACACCACACAATGCATACTTTACCTCCCATTCCCCATTACACCTGTACTAATCTATGGTACTAATAATTTACCTACTCTAAAAATTCCAGAAAGTTCAACCATAACATCGGACGAAGAAGGCGAAACGGAAGAATCTGCTTACGCATCCTTAGAACGCTTCCTCACCGCTTGGGGCCTTTCCCAGTACGTTCAGAAGTTCAAAGACGAACAGATCGACTTGGATGCCCTTATGCTACTTACTGAGAGCGACATGAAGACCCTAGGGCTCCCATTAGGACCATACAGGAAGCTGGTCACAGCAGTTCAAGAGAGAAAGCAGGCGTTGTCCCACCCAGGCCCGATCATCGACACCCCCATATAAGGCAATGTTTTACCATTATTTTTGTAGTTACTTTTGTTTGAAGGCCATGTGTTAAAAAACTATGATATCACAACCTTAAATTATGACGGCAGACGCAGAGGTAAGGCAATCCTTGCGTACCCAGGCACATGATAAGGCATAATTTTACCATATTTTTACTGCCGACCTAGTTTTTTTAATAAAAGGACTTTTAGGGTTCAAGCAAAAGCTATTATAGACAGATTTGTACCTATAAAGACAACTTTTACCAATACATATTTGTGTAGTTGTGTGTTGTTTGAATAATTTTAAAGGGTCAGACATAGTATTTGTGTGTTGTATATTATTATGTATTTATTATGCCCCTTGGCCTTTTGACATTAGAGCACAATATCCTTTGATAGGTAAATGTGCTGTCGACTACATTTTTTAAGCAACAGAAACTAAGTGAAAGGGAATGTAGACAACAGTATTATGTGTATATGTTACGGCTAAAGATAGGTGTGAACATAAACTTAAGATTAGCCGGCTAAACTTAAGTTTTTCTTCGACGAGGTGTTAATGTTAGTTTCTTCTATCTTTAGCCGGCTAAACTTAAGTGTAACCGCAGACCCCTGGCTAAAAATGTAGAAGGAAATGGAAAAGGAAACAATGTAATAATGTTATACTATTTTGACACGAAAACTTAATTAAGAAATAATCACTTTCATTACACATACTTTTATGTACCTATGTAGGTATTCAAAATTACAATTATTACAATAACAAAATATTAATTACTTAAAACAATATCTACCTAATCATTAAAATAAAATAATAAGGATCCATTTGGTCATTACAGAATCTTCTGTAGGTATTTAAAATTACAAAATAAAACTGCGCGCGCGTTGTCTCCCCACCGCCCCCTCAAGCCCTCCGTCGGCCTGGCGCGCCCATCGAATACATTTTTAGCCGTTTCGTTTTGGCTAATGTGCACATTAGCTGGCTAAAGATGGAATATCACGACGCAAACTAACATCTTATCGAACTTTAGCTGCTTCTCGAAGATAAACTTAAGTTTAGCCGGCTAATCTTAAGTTTATGTTCACAACTATCTTTAGCCGTAACATATACAATACATTTAACATTCCTAAATACCAATCATAAAGTAAGCAACTAAATGCTAATTTCTACGTCTAAAATTTTTCCATATTATCATCTGATATACCTACATATTAGCGATAGTAACAGTGCCTTAATATCACATCAATTCTAGTGACCATTTTATAACCGTATAGTTATCAGACCATTGCTCATAAAATGTGATAAATGTATGAGATACGACCATTCCATCCATGTAATACGTCCGATATCGCCATATTAAATATTTTTGTACAAAGTTTATTAATAAATGTAATTTTGTATTATTTTTCAATATCANGATAGATTTTTTTCCTTATTTTTCCTAAAGAAGTCATGACTATGTCCATCCTGTGGCGTCGGCTTATCCTTGAATTTTGGGACACGTTGTATACATAGTTGGTCAGGGAATTTTGAAAAAATTGTCAGGGAAAGTCAGGGAAAAGTCAGGGAATTTTTTCGAACATTTGCAGTGGACACCCTGAATATGTATTTTATTACTTATCAAACTTCCTGCGAAAGCTTTATCTCAGATATAAAAGGACAATGAAAATAATATACAAATCATATTATTATTTTACAATTTTTATTTCAAGTTTTAAATACATTTGAAGTGAAAAATATTCTAAAAATCTCTAATATCGTATTCGAATAATTAAACTAAATCATTAATTTACAAAATTATTGGTTCAGTACCTTGATATTCTGACTAAAATATAATTATTAAATAGTAATGAAAATTACGAGAATTCCTGTAAAATCTAAAAGTATCCATATAGGACGGATCTTACTCGTCAGGGTATAAAGAGGTACATAGTCTGCGCGTACAGCGCATATAAGAGAAGTATATGTATATTTTCAGTCGAAATAGGTACTTCATATTGCCTAAATATCGACAACAACTATTACAAATTGTATGTAGAATATGTATGTATTTTGTTATATAAAATATCATTCTACAAAATTAATTTAAGTTATATTTGAAGATATGTATATTCTAATTTTAATACAATACAAGTGAGCATTTGTTCTCTTTTTACGTTACAAAAAGGCACAATATTCCAATATACATAGAATTTGTTCAACGTACCGCTACTATCATTCCTACATCACGAGACAAGTTGTTCAATACTCATCTAACATATGAACCTATTACTACGTTTGTTTGAATCGCATACACTTATGGCAGAGTCCACATCTACCCTCTACTTACACCTAAACTATAGGTATCCACGCATATCTGATAAGTACCTTGTTAAAATACCACTATTAACTAAAAATTCATTAATATTTACCGGAAATGAAACATCACGCGGAAGTTTCTAAAAAGATCACGATTCAGAGTTTCGTAGGCCGTGCTCGAAGGCGGTCGAGTCGTTCGCGTTCGGGTCGGATCGTCTAAAGCTAAACTAATCTTGAACTGTCCGAAGAACTCGCGCCGCAAAAACAAAAATGTGCCAATAGTGTACAAACAGATCTATCATTTCAACCAGATTCGGGCAACCCATCTAATAGACAGAAAACATTTTGAAACTACAGCGCAGAACAAAACTTTGGAAACAATGGGTCGTGGCGTCAAACTGCAACGGCGTTCGGTCGAAACTCGTAACCGCTGATCTGGGGTCGCGCCCGCGCTCAGTACATGAACGCTAGATACAGATTGCTCTTGGAGAACCGTTTGATCCGCTTTTTGGAGAAGCGGTTGAGGCGGCAGCCGTCGTGGTAGTAGCTGTATTCCGGGTAAGGGATGTACGCTCCGGTGGCCGGGTCGACGGGGACCACGATGGGAAGGTCGCTCATGGAGGCCGGCGGGTCGTAGGACGAGGCGGAGTATGTTCTGGGTTCGGCGTACTGAGGGCTGCCGCTTTCTAATTGGTTCTCGATCTCGTGGCTGGTGTTGCAGACGGGCACGCTGCGGCTGGTGTCGGCGGATATGTTGGACCGGGAGCGGAGGACGGGTCGGGTGGAGGCGAGGTCTGTGGAGTGTTGGAGGCTCTTGGAGCGGGTTCGGATTGGGGGGGCTTCGTCGATACGGGATAGGGTGTGCCGTCGCGCGGGTCTGTAGACGCGGCGGTCGCCGAGGCGCGGTCGCAGCCGGCGGTGGGAGTTGTATGTGTCTCGGGAGGGGGAGGGGGCGGGGTCGGGGGGTCGGTTGCGCGCGGGGGCCTGCGGCGCGGCCGCGTTGGCGAAGTGAGCCGCCACGAGCTCCCTCATCTGGTCGCTTGCTCAGTAGTTGTAGGGCCCGTACTGCGAGCCGTGGTAGTAGGGGCCGGGGTACGCCTGCGGCGGCGGGTACCCGGCGTACGCGTATTGCTGCTTCTGGGGGTACACTGGAAATTCGGAAATGAGGATTAGTTTTCTTGTATTAGCGTGGTGTCCAAGTGATTTTAGTGTTTTAGAACAAATTAATCTTCTTCACAATTGAATACTTATGGATGAGAATCTGTTTAATTTTCTAGATTTTACTTGTAGGCAAGTAGATATTATTAATACACTCAACATCAAATAAACCGCACCTTCCGCGACGCGAACTTTAAAGATTTCCTTCTGACACAATTATGGTACCCCAACAATATTGGTGTTATTTGAAAGCCCAATAAATATCCTTAAAGAAAAATACATTTCATTTCTAAATAAATGATGAACATATACCATACATGTGACTTGAAAATAGACCTCACTTTGGGCTCACCTCTGGAATCAATCAGACCAATTTTTATGGTTATAAAACCAAATAAAGATCTCACGTGTCCTCTTTAACAGATGGATAGCGATTAATCCCAACTTAACAGTTTTATAGTCATAAAAAATGGCTATAGCGTAACTACCTATTTTTTTAAAAAGTGACTCTGGATCCTTGTAAAGACACATTTTTGGGGTAAAAACCTTTCCTTTAATGAAATGAAGTTTAGAACTAGGCTTTCAAATGGTATCAACGTTAGTGGGAAGTGGGGATGCATATGTTTGATAAGTGCTTGTCGCGGGAGGTGCGATTTATTTGATGCCGAGTGTATATTCAAAATTTAAAGTGATTTCAAAACATAATTCAAAAAGTAAATAAAGGATATCACAAATCCATTCCCCATCATGCATTTACAAAGCCCCGTCATGAAGTTTATGATATTTACAATAGATATTTTAGTTTTGTGTGGGTATTTATTTATCATGTGTATATCTTGCTAAATATGCAAAAATGTTATGATCTTATGAGCTAATGGGTATAAACATGAGAAGCGCGTACCGGGCATGAGGTACTGCATGTTAAGCGCCTCTTCCCTCTCCCTCTCGCCGCGCAAGCAAATGGCGGCGGACGAGAACAAAATGGCCGACAGCAGCGCCAGCCCCACGCCGCACCATGCCACCATGTACGACCAGTCGTACCACACGCGCGCGTTATCACGCAATATCTGGTTTATACCGGTTTCAGGCGGATTTATGTGGTTTCGTATGATTTTTTGGTGTTTTTTATAGTGTTTTTGTATAGGCGTGATATTGGTAAATGTACAATGTAACGGTATTTCAAAATACAGTAACGATATCGGTACAAAAACGTTAATGAATACCGTTATTTGTTTTGTATATTTGTGTAAAGATTAATCGATTTGTATATACATTTGTTTTTGTTTTGTAGTTATATAACAGCACCATAGTATGTTAATATCATCGTAAGCAGTTAGTATTGCGTTGGAATAAACCAGATATTAAGGAATAGCGCGTTATACAGTGCGTTAACCGGGCGCATCGTCGTCGTTAAAACGCAGTAGCCAAGTTTCATAGAAACATGTAAAGAAAGAGAAAAGCATTTTGTTAGTATGATATAATTACATGAGTTTCAATTAAAAATATCCTACTCGGGTATTCATTTGAATATAAATCACGAATTACTTTTTAAGATAAATATCAGTACATAAACTATCAATATAATTTCAAATTCAGGAACTTCCACTTCGATATAATAAAATAATAGATAAATACACGTAGTACAAAATTTACAGTTGCTTTTGTACACATCTATCGTATTTAATTACCTATAAATATAAAAATAAAATAAATATCTTATTCATAAACATACATAAAATACGAATAAAATAAGTAATAAAACACCAACGAATTCCTGAGCGGGTAAAATATACATAGGACCTAAAACCTGAAACGAAAAGTCGCCGAAACCAAGCGTTAATCCAGCGTGTTCCACAAAATGGCCGCGTC